TAAGTTTTTATTAAAAAAATTAAACTTTTTAATAAAAACACAGGCAAATTTGCCTGTGTTACAATTTAAGGGATAGAGCATCAAAATATATAACAATGAATATATCAAGTTTTCTTTTTCAATATTGTATTAATAATAATGGAAGTATTAATTTACTTTTTAACTATGCAGTTGAAATATATATTAAATCTTTGTCACTATTAACCAATTGCAAACTTAAAAAACAAAGCTAACTTTATATAAATCAGAATATCAAGGCAGGTTTAATTACTCTAAAATATGTTAAAAAAGCTATCAACTATTTCTCTTAGAAAACAATTCAAGAACAAAATAAATTAATAAATAGGCTAGATAACATAATTAAGCTTACTAAAAAGGATTATAAATATATGGCAAAAATTAAACAAAATATAGCCTTAGATTTAACAATATGGCGATAGTTTTTTTTTTGTAATAGTAACAACAGTTATAAAAGAGCTTATAGTAAAATTAAAAAATATAAACAAGAATACCTAAATTTTTTTTTAAATAATAATTTGAAAATTAACTTTGATATATACAAATATACTGTTCAAATCATTACTAAGGTTATACTTTCAGATATTAAGAAGCTCTTTCTAGTACAATTATTTGTTAAAGGTATACATAGATTGCAATATATATCTGTAGCATTACAATTAAAAGTACCAAGAACAAATCTTAGTCTTCAGTCTTATAACTAAGCAATTATGGCATATTGTACACACCACAGTTCTGAAGTAGAAATTGCTCTAAAATTATTAGCACTTTACAATAATACAAGTAAAACACATTTTAGATATATACAAGAAACTAGTAAAAATATATGTATAGAATAATAATTAGTTGAGCATAATAATATCCAATTATATGAAAATGCTAGTCTATAGACTATTTTAGACCAATTAATTACTACTAAATTAAAAGAGCAAAAAAAGGTTCTTTACTATCAATATTATAATACTTTCATTTCAGAAAACTGCTTTGAACATTAATATTAATTGATAGTAAGCAATAAAACATGGCTTTAACAAGGCCAGAATTGTGATTTTTCTGTTTTAAAATAGATAGAAAGTATAATTTAAATAATGAAAAAGTACCTGTACTTTCTATAGTTATTAAGAATGAAGCCAGATATAGATCTCTATTAGTATTTTGTTTTAGTGACAGAGAAAATCATTATACAATATAGAATAGTAGTTCAAGCAATACAAGCTAATATTTTATGTAATAACTCTAATTGTATGTATTATTGCCAGTATATTAATTTAGAAAATAAAAAAGATTTTTGATATCAAAGAGAATATGTTTTATACTGAAGTCTATTAGCTATAATAGATAAACATTGGCCTACTAAACTTGTACTACAAGTAGTAATACAAACCAAACCCAAATAGAATAATTATAACTTTTATCTAGTTTGGATTTGGGGGTTGACTATTATTGTAATTCTAAACCCAAATCAAAACCCAAACTGGGCCCTTTCCTTTCTGCATATCTCAAACCTCATCAACCAATTAATGATCAGAATTTTAAAGAGTATATATAAACATATTGGTTAGTTGTACAATATACTTGTTCTCCAAATTCAGAATTTGCACAAGTTCTTGTTGATAGTTTTAAAGTTAGAGCTAGCTTATAACAAGTTAGTAATGCCTTTATTTCTTTTGTGTTTAAATAAAGGGTAATAATACCTATTGCTATAAGTTGTTTGCTAATACTTAGAATTTACTTGCAGGTAAAAAAGCTTTTGAATAGCTAGTTTTTTTTTTCTTTTTTATATAATAGTAAGTATTTATTATACTATAAATAGACAATTACTTTATATTATTATTTTTAATAGCTTTTTTTAATTGCTTTAAAAATGTTTTTAGCTTTTGTTTAACTACATTCTTCAAAAAGGTTTATATATGTAGTTACAATTATAATATAATAATTGTTAAGTAGTTTTGTTCTATGAATTAATTTGATAATTTACATTATTATCCTGAAGTTATTTAGCGTATAAGCTAAACTGTTTTGTCTAAAAATACAAGAAAACATTATTCAAATATATATATAACTCAAAATTTTAATAAAATCAATCTGTCTTTAACATTATTGATTAAACAAATTACTAGTATAGAAAAAGATTTTTCTAAAGATATTTCTAAAATATTATAATCAACTAAAACCTTTGGCAAATGAAAAACAGGCGAAACCAATTTTCAAAGGGCCCTAGTAAATAAGGGTAGATATCTAAAAGATTTTGTTTGGAAAGACTTTAAAGTCAGTAAATTCAATAGTAAAAGTTACTATAATGCTAAATATCAATACTGTATTAATGGGAAATAGTAGCATAAAAGGCCTGCAGTTATAGAAATTTATCTAGCTTTATATTGCAAAGCTGAAGTTCCTAAAAATATAAGACACCATTATCTAATTCAGGTGGCAAAGTGAAATGACAAAGTAAAAGATGATGATAGTGATGATAAAAGTGCATCATCATTTTCAATAAAATCACTTTTATATTTATATTGTAAATTTGTATCTAATAAAGAACTAATGAAATTAATAAAGCTATATTTAAAGTTTTTGTTTGTGTGGGAATTGCATTTTCTGTAATTGATAACCCATTTATTCATAATCTTCTTAACCTACTTGATTCAGGGTATGTTCCCCTGGAAGAGTTACACTAAGAGAACAAATACTTGATGAAGAAGCAGCTCGTGTAATAATATGAATAATAGTTTTCTTAACAAAGCATACAATTTAATGTTAGATAAAAAGTTCAAAAATATAACCTTCTTTTTTTTTTTTTTTAAACAAAAATATATTTTTATTAGCACTTGATAAATGGTCGACTTCTATCAATGATTTGTTATATAACTTTATCATTTCTACTTCCGATTATAATGAATACCGTAAAGTCCCAAAAATAAGCAACCTCCTAAGCCACCCATTTTAAACTATTTTTTTGAAAGGGTTGCTTAAATTCAGAACTTTTATAATACTAAGTTTTGGTTGGTCAATATAGTATAACGCTGATTTATAAAATTTTATTGGCTGTTTTTAATAATCAGGTGACAAACATTATAAGGATCGATAACCAATCAATGTAATGAATAATGCAATTTACTTTAGACATAATAAAAATCAAGTCAAAATACTGATAACTTTTATTTCTTTTGTTGATTATTTAAAAGCATGTAGCAAATATTATTTCTCACTATCTTAGAGAATTTCTTTTACTTACCTTTAGCATATTTGATGTAATAATTTGAACAATGATGAAAAAAAAGTAACAATCAAGAAATTAAAAAAAAAAATTGTATCTGTCCAACAAAGAATTAAAAATAAAAACTTTTAAAAAAAAATTTAGTACCCTACTTACCGGTACCAAAAAAAAATAAACCCACACAATAAAGAATTTAACATTTATCTACTTACTAAATACAATAATAATAAACCCGTTCAAGAAAGAATTCAGCACACACATATCAAAAAAATAAACCTGCCAAAAAAAAAAAAAAAAAAAAATTAGCATGCATCTACCAAAAAGAAAAAAATTTAACACAAATCTAACTAATAGCAATAAACTTGCTCCATGTAGAATTCAATATTTGTTTAGTACAACAAAAATTTAACATTGCTTTCCAAAAAATAATAAATCTACACACTTACCAACCTATAAAAAAAAAATAATAAAAAATAAAAAAAAAATAAAAAATAAAAAAAAAATAAAAAATAAAAAAAAATAAAAAATAAAAAAAAAATAAAAAAAAAACTGAAAAAAATTAAAAACTATGGATTCAATAACAAATCAAAATTTAAAAATTATCAAGAGAAAATTATTATAGTATGTATAAGCCAAGATAGTATGCATTTGATATTAGAGAAGTGCTGTTTATTATGTAATTTCTTATTAAAATTAGCAACAAATTACAGTATTTATTTCTTTTAAAATTATGTAATAAATGATACTTCCCTTATACAAATTACATTATTAATATACTAGTATATAAATTTTTACCTTAATTTTTTTTTTCTCTTGATTTTTTACGTGACAGTTTTTTTTCTTAGTGATAATATTTTATCAATACACTTTAAACATGAATGCAATTATTGCTAATAAGGTGCCTAAAGTTTGAAGCCGTGTACAAAGCACTTCATACAAAGCATCTGAAAAACTTACTGTAATTCGTGAAGCAAAGAAAATTGGTGTTTTAGCCACATCACGTCACTTTGTTATTGATCAGTCAATGGTTTCACAGTGGATATCTAATAAAGAAAAGCTTAAGAATGCTAATTCAAGTAATAGATGTGTTGGTGCTAGAAGAGCTTCATTTTATCCAGAGGCTGAAGAAGAACTTGTCAAGTGGTTAAATGAACTTCATTTAGCTAAAATTGCTGTAACTGCAGGTTCTATTAAAGTTTAGATGGTTAATATTCTTTTAACAACTTGTGCAACCAAATATCTAAACGCAGCTAAACAATTTCGTGTTTCTAAATCTTGGTTTTACCAGTTTTTAAAAAGGCATCAACTTTCTTTATGTTGTCATACTAAGATTAGCCAAAAATTACCAGATGATCTTATTGAAAAAGTTATCAAATTTCATAAATTTATAATTCAATCCTGATTAAAATACCAGTATGATCTTTCTCAAATTGTTAATTTGAATGAGACACCTGTATTTTTTGATATGACAGGTTTTTATACAATTAACTCAAAGGGTGCTAAATCTGTTCAAATAAGAACAACTGATAATGATAAAAACTAGTTTACATGTGTTTTAGCAATTACTGCAAGTGGTAATAAACTTCCTCCAATGGTTATATTTAAAGGTGTATGAACTTCTCCTGACTTACCACATGGAATTATTGTACGTATGCAAGAAAAGGCTTGGATGAATGAGAATTTAATGTGTGAATGGATTGACCAAGTTTGGAACAAATGAACTGAAGCATTAATTACTAACAAGCTATTATCTTTGCTTGTAATGGATTTATTTGAAGAACATTTAACAGAATTAGTGCGCCAAAAATGTTAAATTAATAATATTCACAAAGCTATTATTCTGGAAGGATTAACATCAATTGTACAACCATTAGATGTGTGTATTAATAAACCATTTAAAGATAGGTTAAAAGAAAAATGGCACTTATGGATAAGTAATAATCAATTTCATTTAACAAAAAAAGAAAATTTAAAAAAACCTTCATATAGTTTAATTTGTTAATGAATTTTAGAAGTGTGGGCTGATATTTCTGTAGAAATGGTTATTAAATCTTTTAAAAAATGTGGTATTTCTAATGAATTAGATGGTACTGAGGATGATTTGTTATATAATTCAAATAAAGAAAATGATGATAATGAAGATTTAGCAGAAATAGTTGGTAAAACTAGTTTTTCTGCAGAAGAATTAGATTTAGAAGATTAGATTTATTAGTTTTTTAGTTAATAAATTTAAATTAAAAAATTAATAAAATTTATTATTTTTTACTTTAATAATTTTTTAAAGAGGGGTTGCTTATTTTATTTTCTTAGTATTTTTATTTTAAAATATAAAGGGTTGCTTATTTTGGGGAGTTGCTTATTTTTGGGACTTTATAGTATTTGTATTAGATTTTGGATTTTTTTGATACAGTATAGTTGGAAAATTTTTTGCTTCTAAAATTTCTGATGTTGTTAATAAAATTGGCTCTAGTAAATTTGTAGCTTGCATAACAGATAATACAGTCATCCCCCTCTATAGTCACCTCCTCTATAGTCACAACCTCAATATAATCACATTTTTTTTTTACCAACCTTTTTTATATTATTTATACCTCTATATAGGCACAATCGTCTTATAGTTACTATCACGTTTTTTTGTTAACCAATCATATAACATATATATAAAATTACCCTCTATAAAAGCACACTATAAATAAAACAAATCAGATGAACTTTATTATATTTTACCTTTTATTCTATTTTTTAGCGTAACGGGTTCAAATACCTTTTTAAATTTTGTAGATTAGCCAGATCTAGGATTTGAACATATGTACATATGCACGTAATAGTTAGAAGTACTATAACTAAAAACTTACTGTCGGCTTTATAGATTGATTAGCTCTTGTATATGTATGTTGAAAAGGGGTAACTTAATGGTTTTAAAGCTAAATTTAGCTAAATCTACACACTACAACTTCTAATCTTCTGTTCAAAGACCCTAAAGACTTCGATTTGGCAGGCAAAAAGAAGCGCAAAGAGACTTAGTCCGAGTCTCTAAGTCTTGTTAAGTCTTGCTGCGGTGTATTTGGAGGCTAAGATAAGTATACCTTGGTCTTGTGCTTATAGCAATATTTGATAAACTTTTAGAGGAAGCTAAAAGTGATTTCTTGGCTTGAATTTTTAGTATGCCTGGCTATAGTATTCTACTTCGATTGTTAAGATCCTTAATGATCATCACATAGATCATGTGGTTATAAAATATAGTCGTAATTTCAATTTATAGCTGATTTGAGGTAACAATAACGTTTGATCAAAGCTTGATTAATTATATTTTATTATAAAAAGGGTTTTTGGGTTTTTAATCAACTCTCTTTCTCTCTCTAACTTAAGTATAGAGAAAATCACAGAGAACACGAATTCGTCTTGTGTTGATATCATTGTTAGGAAACTTAGAGATACTTCTACTTGAATTTCGAAGGTCAAAACTCTTAACAGTTTATCAATTATAACTAGATCAGTGTATATTTCTTTTTGAATGTTTTTTATAAGGAACAAAATAAGTATAAAACTACTGGAGCACTTCTACTATTATTTATTTCGAAGTATTACTTAACTTAGTTTTTTCCACCTTTTCAGAGCAAGAGCGGCTCTGCTTTTTATATATTTTTACAGGGTTTAAAATATACAACTTTCTCTTAAATTTATTCACTAAGGCAAATAAATTCACTATATCTACTAAGGTGATTAAGGTGGATTAAGCAGATAAATTCGCTAAAGCGAATTTATCTGACTTATTGATTTGATCCAGGAGAAGGAGTCACCAGATAACTAAGCTAAGTAATATATATTTAATAATACTAATACTAATAATAAAATATAGATAATAATAAATAAAAAAAATAAAAAATTGTAGAGTCAGATGACTGGAGCCCCTCACAACGTACGTACGTACATATCTAAGAATTTTTTTAAAATGCCTTATATAGTATCAAGTAGAGGTATGTACGTATATATGTACATATGCAGTTATGTAATTATTAATCGATCGATTGGAATTGGCATAAATTATGTAATTTGCTGTTAGATGGATATAATAAATTATGTAATTAGCTTTTGGATTAGATAAATAATGAACATCATAAATATGTAATTATTTAAATACGTAATTAAAATATGTAATTAAGATGAAAAAAAATCTTTCCTTTGTATTGACACTAACAATTGCTTGTATATTTTTGGCAAGCTAATTAATACGTATTCTACAAGTTATATTTAAATGAGCATACAAACATGTTAATAATTCCTATTTTCCAACACTTGATACATTTATTTAATCACCAATATATTTATTAAATCAATAAACAATAGATTAAGAACCAACTGATATGATATAATAAATAAACAAATCGATTCTTACCAGTTTTGAGAAATTATCTGCTAATCTTATTCTCTAAATTATTAAAAACCTTCGCTATTCACAAAGGCATGATCTGCCTTTTTTGTGTGTATTTATGAAAGCAAAATACTGTAAAACTTTTTAATGACATTAAGGATATATAGAATTTCTCTAATATATATAAGAGGAATATATCCTCCATATTTCTTGGCCACCCTGGTTTTTTTGTTATTACAATTATGATATCTAATTAATCTACTAAAAAGACACACATGGCAGTTAGTGATAGTCTAAAAAATAAATTTTGCAAATATTATGTAAAAAACTCTAATAAAACACAAACACAAATCACAGAGTACTTTAATGCTCAAGATTCACAACATAATCTTGATCATTTAACCATCTCTAAAATTCTCAAAGAGAAAAATAAATGGTTAGCCGTTAGTGAAAATGAGATAACATCAAGTACTTTTCGATATAAAAAAGTAAAATTTTCTTTGCTAGACCAAGCTATAAAGTTATGGGTTGAACAGGTTGTCAATAATAGGTTATTTTTAACTGAGGCGATTATCAAAGAGAAGGCTGCTTATTTTTTTAAAGCTTTATCACTACCTGATAATGAAATAAAATTCTCTAATGGTTGGATAAGACAATTTAAAAAATGCAATAGTTTGTGAAAATTTCAATTACATAGGGAGGCTGGTAGTGTGTCAACAAGTGACCTTCCAAAATTCTAATGTAATTTACAAAATATTATCCAAGAATATGCATTAAATAACGTTTTTAATGCAGATGAAATGGGTCTGTTTTTTTGAATGGCACCCAACCAAACATTGGCATCTCGACCCCGTTCAGGATGGAAAAAGGAAAGTAATTTTTATTAATTTAATAATAGTTTGTTTTTTATTGTAAAATTTGATTAAAAACTATTCATTAAACTAAATCTTTTTTATTGTTAATAAACTTAGGATCGTACTTGTATTACTATTCTTTTAGCATGTAATGCTACTAGTACCAAAAAATTAAAGCCTCTTGTAATAGGATCTTAAATTGAACCACGGGTATTATCTAGAATAAATCATTCTACACTACCTGTTATATATCATGCTAACTCAAAGGCATAGATGTGAAGTAATATATTTTTAGAATGATTGAAAGATCTTGACAGCCAATTCCAACATGAAAATCAAAAAATTTTGCTTTTACAAGATAACGCGACAAGTCATTATGATCTAAATTCATATTCATCTGATAAAGAGTTAAGTCATAGTGATTCTGAGAAGCTGCATTCTGGAAATAGAAGTGGTCGTGGTCATAGTCGTGGCCATGGTCATGGTCTTATTCATAGTCATGATCATGATCATGATAATAATCGTAATACTGTTCAACAAAGTAAAGGCAAGCGTGGCAGAGGCCATGCGAGTGTTTATACACTTCCTAATTTATCTGATTATAATCTCACAAATATTAAAATTCAATTTTTATCTGCTCTTACTACCTTGCATTTTTAACCTATAGATGTGGGAATCATTAAATGCTTCAAGTCAAAATATTAAAAAAAATATATTCAATATATCTTAGATAAATTTGAGAGGTGACTAGATATTCGAGATTCTGAGTAAGTATTGTATATTTAAAAATTATATGTAATTTTTTATAAACTAAAATTTATTATTTTCTGTTAGAAATAAATTAAATATTAAGGAAGCCATCAATTATGTAGCAGCTTTGTAGGATGAAGTGGAAGAGTTAACAATGACAAATTGTTAGATGAAGACTGGTATTTTACACTTGGTATTAAATAAAGATGTTGAACTTGCACAAAATACATGCTTAGAATCAATTAAATGTGAAGAAAGTGAAATATATGAATTAGTGGTTGATCTTACTGAAGATATAGTTGCGTGAGAAATAGATGCATATAGAGAAGTTAATCAAACTCATATTCCTACAGAAGAAACACTTAATGATACCCAGATTGTTGAAACTGTATTAGCAGAACAATTGGAGTATAAGCAAGGTGATCCAGATGATTCTGACAAAGAACTGCCAAAAATTACTGCTACTGAAGGAATAAGTAGGTTGAAAAGTTTTATATTGTTTGCTAACAAACAAATGTGCGACAATTTCTTTTTCAATAATAATGTTTTAAAAGAATTTTGTAAATACTTACTATTAATGAAGCAAAAAATTACTGAGTCTATGAATCAAAAACCTATTACAGATTTTTTTAAAACAGCAGATCAAAGTATGTCTATTAATAATAATTTTTTTAATAAAACAGGATTTTTTGATGACAGTAATGTTTTTCCTAATAATGATAATTTTTTTGGTAGCAATAATTTTTCTGATGGCAATGATTTTTCGGGGGACAATTTTTCTGGTGATGATGATTTCTTTGACGACAATAATTTGTCTTATTATCATGGGTTTTCTGATAACTACAATAGTTTTGATGATTATTAAAACTAAGTTATTAAATAGTTTTACTATTGTTATATAGTAAATTGTATATATTAGTTATATGAAGAATAAATACATATCTAAAATAAATAAACTAAAATTTGCACATTAAATAAATATAAACATTATACTGTATACAGTCTATAAAATGTAGTTTATGATAGTATTATTAAAATAAAGCATGTAGTTAATTTTTTTTTTTTTTTTTTTTTTTTTTTAATGGCAATCTTGCCTGTGTGTCTTTATTAGTAAGGTATAACTATTTATATACAGTAGTCTGTTAATGAAAGTACAACTAGCCACATATATAACTTTAGTTATTATCTAATTAAGGATTCCGCCTGCAGGTTACCCACTAGATGCCATACCTGAGACCTGCCTCTGGGTCCTCTATTTAAACTTTCTGGTTTTTTAACATATTTGCATATACATATTTTAATATTACTATTGGTGACAACCAGGTTAGGGCTATCTAATTACTATTTATATCAAAG